TGGACAGGGATCAAGTATCCTAGCCAGCTCCTGCTCTTGTCTTGACTCCGGGTTTCGCGTGATTGCGGCGACACCTCCACATACCACATCGACGCAGTCTATCCCGGCGTCCGTTATGGCAGCGCTGGCGACCGTGATGCAGCCTGCTAGCACGTTCAAGAGACCCCATCCACTCCCGGCCGCGCTGCCCCCGCTAGCAGAGTCTCCCCACCAGCCATCCTCATCTCCTTCCAGTATTGTGACTACAACTTCGACCCCACTCTTGGGCCATCTCTCTCCGATGATGACACCTCGTAGCGCAGTCTCTAGATGAACTCCCAGGTCGCGCTCTGCCGAATCGCGTATGTAGCCTCGCCGTTGTCGTGTTGCGAACGGCGCAAACTTGACCGTGGTTGTAAGGAGGAGCGAAGGACTGAAGGGCGCGCTACGGGGAAGAGGCTTGGGGCCTTGTATAGAAGCCGTGATCTTGAGAGACGAAGTCGGCGGGATGAGGGTCGACTTGATCGCGGGGGAGGAGGAGGGTATTTCGAGGTACGCGGAACCCGACGCTGAGGGTATGATGGATGTCTGAAGGACTGTGGACGTGTTAGAAGCAGAACATGTATAAAGTACGCATCGTTCCAGTCGAGCTCCACATCCGCGCGTAGGGAGACGCATGGGGTCATTCGGGCACTTACAGATCCTGCGAAGCTCATTCGCGCCTCTTGACCTTGTCGGCCTCAACTTTTCCAGGTACTGCGGTTCTCTGATTGTACGCGCAAACACTGGCGCACTGGTACCACCACTGGGCGCATTATTTCTTCTCCTGTCCGTGTTCATCGTGTCTGTGGTTATGTTGTGCTGCAGCGTTGCTGTACTTGCAGATGATTTCATGGTGTTCAGAAAAGTGGATGACTAAGCGCAGATCTGCCAAGATTTCGGGACCCTCAAGTTCAATTTTCTTGCGCGTCCGGTTCAACTTTCTTTCCTTACCTCACATCCGCGCTCACGGTACGTTCACGCACACCCCTCTATCCTCCCCCATTTCATGATTGATACCTTGAAATAGTTCTTGCGATCTTAGATGAGCTTTGAACATGCACCACCCTCTGATTCCAACTTTGGAGCTTCCGCTTTCGCATCAGACTTTGCGACCCTAGCTAACTTAGCTCAGATACAGACCAGCGTTGTACCAGAGCGCGCGACGACGCGACTCGCAAGCATGCAATCATAGCTTCACGGCTGCGACACAAGTCTATGTTCTTGGGCATTCAATTGATGCGCCAGCACATCTACTGCTAACCTACAGCACTCCCCAGTACATACTGATAGTGGTAAGTCTTCATCATTCCTTCTCACTTCGCTTTATATGATGATCGTATTATTTCAGTTCTGCTACTGAATCTCTTTGAAGAAAATTTATACCGCTTACCTTTGTCTGATATCACTTTACACTTCCAGCTCGTTACTTCACAAATTGAAGGATCTCGCTGACATTGTAACCAGACACGCATTCTAGCTCTTACTACCACAGGCCTACTGTCCATGGTAAGCACCCCGATCCCTCTCCCGTTCCGTTCAAGGAGGAAAACTAGTCTATCCATTCAACGACATCTGTCGCCGGGTCACCCTCCCGCACCCTACCAGTCTCGGCTGGGATGACGGGTTGTGGAGTTGCACTGTTGGTTCGTCCAACGCCGCGTTATTGTGGTCTTTGAGCCAAAAGTCGCGGCAATCCGTCTTGGGCTGCCGCGACCCGAGGCCAGGCGATGGGGGATGATTTAACACGGCTTTCTGAGCACACAACACACGTCGATACTATTACGAAATCGCTGTTCGAGCATCGCTAACGACGCTCAGATTGTTGAAAGAAACCATAGAATGATGCGGTTGAAGCCGGGATCGTGGGCAATAGTAGATACTCGTACTTCGAATGCATTCATTCCACTCATAATTGTTTTGGTACCTGTTCCTTGATATTTGCTCGTGATTCTTCGTACAAGTGACAAGTTGTGGTTGTTGCAATGTGCTGCTTCCCTTTCACCACTGCATGACCCCTGTGAAACATACGACGCAATGTCGAGAATACGAGGGTCTAAACTCACCCTCGCTCGTGTACCGTTACTATTCGCTGCTTGGACGTGGACAGCCACTCCTGCACATCATTGCTCTACAGATCTGAAACGGCCATGCTAGGTGGCTTGGCTTAGCCTCCCACCCCGGGGATCTGACAAAGTGGCAGCACTCGAACAACCACCACCGTGCATCTCGTCAGCCCTGCGCGTCGAGTCGATTGATTCGGCAACATCCGCTGAGACGCGCGCGAGTTATCAGCAACCTATCTGGACGTCACCGTGGCCTTAGCGAACAAATCCTTGGCCCTGCAACGGAGGTTATCAAAGACGCGCAACACCCCAAGCGCACGACATCACCAATCTGAAGACGGCTATCGAAGTGTGTAACCTCGCGAATACACTGAGCAGCGGCAATTCCCTGGCGGAGATCAACAAGGAGTGCAAGGTGGTGCTTCGATCAGCAACTTGGTGATCTGGCGGGTCTTCGGTGACCGGGGTTCTCCAAGGGAGCATTCGACATCTGGCGCCCATCTCTCTGGATGTTGCCATTACATTCCTCTACGAAAGGGAAGATGCACCGCCATGCCTTTTCCAATGGGGCATATCCCTCACAAGGAGGGGGCACCTTTTCAATCCAACCTCACAAGTACGTCCAACACCCGCCGGCACCCTGCGCCGCGCCTCCTTTACGCCCAAACCCCAAATGAACATGGTTCTAACACTCGGTGCACCTTCAGATTCCAGCCACGGTCACAGCCTGCGCTCCGGCGGCGGAGAACACTGATCCAGCGCTTGCTGATCGTAGGCTCGCTGTTCTTTACCGCCCTATTCTTCTTCTTCCCCGACTTGCGACCGAACCTGGGCTCCGGGCCCCTCAGCTTACTCACCACGAGCGATGACGCGCAACTCGAGACGGTGCGATACTACGACCTGAACAATGTTCAAGGCACGGCAAGGGGTTGGGAAAGGGAAGAGCGCATCCTGCTATGCGCTCCGTTGCGAGACGCGGCTCCGCATTTGCCCATGTTCTTTGGCCATCTGAAGAACCTCACCTACCCGCACAACCTCATTGACCTGGCTTTCCTCGTCGGAGATTCCAAGGACAACACCATTTCACTTTTGACGGAGAAGTTGGAGGAGCTACAGGCCAATCCCGATCCCAAGCAGCAATTTGGCGAGATCTCCATCATGGAGAAGGATTTCGGGCAAAAGGTCAACCAAGATGTTGAGAGTCGTCACGGTTTCGCGGCACAGGCTGGCCGCCGAAAGTCAATGGCGCAAGCGCGAAACTGGCTGCTAAGCGCTGCTCTGCGACCAACGCACAGCTGGGTCTACTGGAGAGATGTCGATGTGGAGACTGCTCCCTTCACAATCTTGGAAGATCTGATGCGACACAACAAGGATGTCATTGTACCGAGTATGTACGGCCACGCATAGTACAAGTTTGCATGCTAATATCCTACGTAGACGTCTGGCGACCGCTTCCGGACTGGCTCGGCGGAGAACAACCATACGATCTGAACTCCTGGCAAGAATCCGAGACCGCTCTCGCTCTCGCCGACACCCTCGACGAGGATGCAGTCATTGTAGAGGGATACGCAGAGTACGCTACTTGGCGCCCGCATTTGGCCTACCTTCGCGACCCCTACGGCGACCCGGACATGGAAATGGAGATCGATGGTGTTGGTGGTGTCAGTATTCTTGCGAAAGCCAAGGTCTTCCGTTCCGGTGTCCACTTCCCTGCGTTCAGTTTCGAGAAGCACGCTGAGACAGAGGGATTCGGCAAGGTGAGCTATGTCATTACACCTCTTACTACAGAGCTAACACATAGCAGATGGCAAAGCGCATGAAATTCTCCGTCGTCGGCCTTCCCCACTACACAATTTGGCATCTTTACGAACCCAGTGTTGACGATATCCGACACATGGAAGAGATGGAGAAGGAACGCAAGGCAAAGGAGGCCGAAGAAGAGGCCAAGAAGGCGAAGGAGAACAAGATCAAGGAGAACTTTGACGAGAAGAAAAGCGACTGGGAGAAGGAGAAGGCAGCGGTTCAAGACATGGTTCAGCAAGCAAAGAACGAGGAGAAGGCGGCAGCCGAGAAGGCCAGGCAACAAGAAGCAGCAGCGAAACAGGAGTCGAACCAGGCAGACACCAAAGAGGACAAGCCAGTCGAAAAGAAGGAGGGCGAGCAATCGTAGTCGTTACAGCGCGCACATAATCTCAAGGGTACAGGACCTCGGTCAGCATCCATGTTCGCAATATTGGACCATAGTGGGTCGAACCACCGCAGCAACGACAGTAACGATTTAGGCAGATTGGGCGCAGATCTGACTTTGTTTTCTTTCGATATACTGCATGCTTTGATTGTAGCCTACAGATTTTCAAGGCAGCAACATTTGGCGGAATCGGCCTTGGATGGTGGCATTTCCTCTCGGAGGGTGTTTGGAGACGAGGCGGAGGAATGTATACATTAGACAGCAGCTTTTGCATCACGGGCGTTGTAGGTTCAGCAGTAGATGAGCACTACGTTTGTTTGTAACAATATCAAGAAACATTATGAAATGCAAGCGGGAAAGATTAGCGCAACTCGCCATGCTTCTGTGTTTCGTCATGGCTGGCATCTGACGCTGGTCGGACCCCTGGCCTCAGCACCTCCGAAACTCCGCTAGAGCTAAGCCGCCAAATGTTCGGACGGTGCAACTCGACGCCTGGGATCGATTGCGTACGACTTGAGGACAGATTGTCGAGGGCAAAGATTACTCCACGCCCTAAATACCTCAATATTTAGATTATCACCAGGCAGCAGCAATTGGGAGGATGCGTGTCATCTTTCAAGTCGACTGAACCAGACATACAGCTGTCCATGAGCCCTCCGCCATAAAGACACGACGCCGCGCACCACACTTTTGTCGCATACACACGTACACCACAACCTTCCCGCGCCATGTCGAGCACCGACGGCGACGATCATGTCGCGTCAACACTCCAGGAAACAATTGTCGACCTGGACCCCCGACCTATCACCGTCGCAGTCAATCCAGTAGCCCTGGTGGTGACAGAATGCATTACCGTCACGTCGGCGATGCGAAAGCATGCCCGCTGGGCACATTCCTCAGTCGCGGCCATACTGGGCAGCTCTTCCAACAAGACACCGGCTGTGCAACGACGCGACCGCACGGGACAGGGCATCATAAGCGCGGGAGAACAAGAGGAGGCTGTACCGAGCAGATGGGGCCTGCGGGGAAAGAAGGGCAAGAGCATGCAGGACAACCCTCTCATGTCTGCCTTTGCGCGCCTGAGGAACGACCTGAAGGGCTGTAAAGGTGAATGCTACAGTCGGGACGATACATGGGCAATGCTAACGATGCACCAGACATCCGGGCCTTCGATACCCCCTCCATGCTCCACCCCTTCCTACAAGTCATCCGCTCCTCCTCCACCTCCGCGCCCATCACCTCGCTCGCCCTCATCGCTATTACCAAATTCCTGTCGTATGGCATCATCGGTCATGACTCTCCACGTCTACCAGAAGCTATGCAGCAGCTCTCCTCCGCCATTACACACTGCCGATTCGAAGCCAGCGACTCGGCTGCCGACGAGATCGTTCTCCTTCGTATCCTCAGGCTTATGGAAGTCATGATCTCAGGTCGCGGAGGAGAGGTACTGGGCGACGAGAGCGTATGCGAGATGATGGAGACAGGCTTGAGCATGTGCTGCCAGGCGAGACTGTCAGAGCTGCTCCGACGCTCGGCAGAGATTGCCATGGTTTCCATGTGTCAGGTCATATTCCGCAGGCTGAAGACGCTGGAGATTGAATCGCCAGAGGAGCTGGACGCCATGGACGAAGAGTTGGAAGGAAAGGACGAGCAAGATGGTCTGAGAATGGATCCAACCGCAAACGGCGAGGGAGACTCTGCACAGCACAAGGTCGAGGCGCTGCAGCAGCCAATCGATCCTGAGAAGGGACATGAAGACAACGACAGTACCGCGAACCCTGCGAGTAGTACTCTAGATCTACCAGCAACCGCGGCGGATGGGCAGCCACAAGCCCCTCTCGAGATCAAGCCGTACTCATTGCCGTCCATAAGAGAGCTGTTCAGAGTATTGGTTGATCTGCTGGACCCTCACGACCGCCAACATACCGACACCATGCGCGTCATGGCCTTGCGCATCGTAGACGTTGCTCTTGAAGTCGCCGGGCCGTCGATAGCGAGCCATCCCAGTCTGGCCAATCTGGCCAAGGACACCTTGTGCAGGCACATCTTCCAGCTCGTCAGATCAGACAATATGGCCATCTTGAACGAGTCATTGCGAGTTGCTGGTACGTTGCTGGCGACATGCAGGAATGTGCTCAAGCTGCAACAAGAGCTCTACCTCTCGTATCTGGTCGCATGCCTTTTCCCACGGGTTGAGATACCCATTGAGCCGGGTATCGAACCTTCATTATACGAAGGAGTTCCAAGTGCGCCCAGTCTAATCAAGCAGCCGCCGCAACAAAAGAGCAACTCAAGCGGTCGTTCAACTCCAGTGCCTGTCAAGGATCGGCAAAAGCTGGGGCTGGAAGGAGGCGCCCGAAAGCCGGATGCTCGAGAGGCCATGGTGGAGAACTTGGGTGGCTTGGTTCGGATACCTTCCTACATGGCAGAACTTTTTGTCAACTACGACTGTGAGATTGACCGTGGAGATGTCTGCATGGACATTGTTGGACTTCTCTCCAGAAACGCGTTCCCAGACTCTGCAACATGGAGTACTGTCAATGTACCTCCACTGTGTTTGGACGCACTGCTTGGCTTCGTGCAATCTATGGCAGATCGCCTCGACGACGAGCCTGTGACTGAAGGCTATCCAAGCGTTGAGTCACTCCGCGAGCAGCGGGCGCGCAAGGCGGTCATCATCCGTGGTGCCACTAAATTCAACGAAAAGCCCAAGGCTGGTATCGCCTATCTGGCACAACAGGGAATCATCCGAGACCCAGATGATCCTAAATGCATCGCCGAGTTCGTCAAAGGTACTACGAGAGTCGATAAGAAAGTATTGGGCGAGTTCATCTCGAAGAGGGGAAACGAGGCGCTCTTGAGCGAGTTCATCAACTTGTTCGACTTCAAAGGACAGCGGATAGATGAAGCGCTTCGACAGCTCCTGCACGCCTTCCGTCTCCCTGGCGAATCGGCCCTGATCGAGCGAATCCTGACAGAATTCTCTGAGACGTACTTCAACATGGTCAAGCCTGAGGGGATTGCCAACGGCGATGCCATTTATATCCTCACATACGCCGTCATTATGCTGAACACCGATCAACACAACCCCAACTTGAAGACGAAACGAATGCAGTTGGAAGATTTCACCAAGAACGTTCGAGGTGTTAACAATGGCAAGGACTTTGAACCTGAGTTCTTGCAAGGAATCTATGATTCCATCAAGAATCGCGAGATTATCCTACCCGAGGAGCACAGCGATCGAAATGCATACGACCACGCGTGGAAAGAGCTGCTAGTCAAGTGCCAGTCGACGTCCGACATCGTCATCTGCGACACCAACATCTTCGATGCGGACATGTTCGCTGCCACATGGAAGCCGATCATAGCAACCCTATCCTACGTGTTCATGTCTGCTACTGACGATGCGGTCTTTTCCCGCGTTGTGCAGGGCTTTGACCAATGCGCTCAAATCGCTGCCAAGTACGGCCTTACTGAGGCTCTCGACCGTATCATCTCGTGCTTGTCGTACATCAGCACATTGGCGCCCGATGTGCCACCAAGCACATCGCTCAACACCGAGGTGCAAGCCGACAAGAAGAGCGTCATGGTCAGCGAGACTGCTGTGCGATTCGGTCGTGACGGTAGGGCGCAGCTAGCGACCGTAGTTTTGTTCCAGGTCATCAAGGGTAACGAAGCATCAATAAGAGATGGGTGGCAACATGTAAGGTCTTCGATTTTGTTGTTCTTCTATACAGTGCTAACAACAGTAGCTTATTCGCATCATGGTGAACTTGTTCGTCAACTCGCTGATACCACCCTACTTCCTTTCTTTCCAGAAGACGCTCGCTCTAGCACCCATACCACTTCAGAACCCAGCACAAGTCATCGACCGTGCAGAGCGTCCAGCAGACACTGGCATCTTCTCGGCCCTGACATCATATGTGTCGAGCTTTGCCAATGACGAGCCTCCGGAGCCATCAGACCAAGAGATTGAGTACACACTTTGTACTGTGGATACTGTCAAGGAATGTCACTTCGAAGATATCCTTGCGAACATCAGCCAGCTGCCAGTGGAGTCTCTGCGGTCACTTCTGTCATCTCTACTTGAGCATCTACCCGAAGATGGCTCACCTAGAGTCATCGTTGTGAAACCGGAGATACCCGGCGCAAGTCCGCGAACGACCGGTCCTAGACAGAAGGGTAAAGGCCCACTTTACGATCCAAGTCTTGTCTTCGTCCTTGAGCTGGCGACTGTCCTAGCGCTTAGGGATGAAGAGACTGTCAAGGAGCTTGCAAAGGATGTAACAGATGCTTTGGCGTCTGTCATCCGCGACGCGCCTAAGCATCACTATGTGGTCATTGCACGATCGGTATACTATCTTCTGAGTCTGCTCAAAGCCAGCAATGTAAGTCTTGATGCACTCCCAGGAGAATATAGTACTAATCGATCCAGGACTATGACTTCATCCGTGCGCCAGTCCTTATGCACACGTTCTCCAGCTTCAATGATGCTCTGCTACACGAGTGCGCACAACCGATTCTGAAGGGTCTGACAGACTGCTGCAAGGGTCCGAACGCTCTTCGCAGCGAACTTGCAGGATCACCAGACTTCTGGACCATTCTCAGCAGACTTTCAGGAGTGCCCGATGCTGCTGGGGATGTATTCCAGCTCGTCGAAGACCTTACCACTTCGCCTCAACCTGGCATTACTGCTGATAACTACGAGGCTGCGATTGCGCTTCTCAATGAGTTCGCAACTGCAGCTCAAGTTGGAGCTCGAGAAGAGCAGTTGCATGATCAGGCTGCACGACGCAACAAGGGTCAGAAGCCTAAGAAGCTTGAGAGCAACGAAGTTGTCGTACGCGGCAGCACTGCTATGAGCATTGTCTTCCAACTTTCCAGCAGGGTGCCAAACTTTATCGAACAGTCTCACCTTGAGACTACTGAAGGTGGGAACAATTCTCCCTTCGTCAAGCATCGAGACGCTAACACATCTTCAGCATGGACCGCGTACTGGTCTCCTATTCTCAAGACCCTCGCGCATCAATGCCTCAACCCTTGCCGCTCCCTACGCCAGCAAGCCTTCTCCTCACTTCAACGAACCCTTCTTTCCAACGACCTCGCCTCCCCCGAGCACCGAGAATGGACCGCGATCTTCAGCGAAGTCCTCATACCCCTCATCACCCAGCTGCTCAAACCAGAAGTCTACCAATCTGATCCACTGGGCATGAGCGAGACTAGGATCAGGGCCGCCACACTTCTGAGCAAGGTCTTCCTGCACTACCTAGTGCTGCTTGACGGCCTCTCAGGCGAAGAGAATGAAGAAGGAGAAAAGAGCCTGTCTTTCGAAGACTTGTGGATCACAATAGTCGGCCTCATGGATCGCTTGGGCAATAGCGGACAAGGCGACATGGACGAAGCCGTTGCCGAGAACCTCAAAAACATGCTTTTGGTTCTCAGCAATGGCGGGTACCTTGCACCACCGGACGAAAACCCCAAACGAGAGGAACTTTGGCACGAGACGTGGAAGCGCATCAACCGCTTCCAACCCAACCTCTTCGCTGAGCTGTTCCCAGAAGAAGCTGGAAAGCCTGCGAGACCGCGACCGAGTAAGGATGAGCGGGCGGCGAAGGCTGAGCCGGTGATCGATGGCAGAGAAATGGATGTCGCTGAGAGGAAGAAGGGAGGTAGCAGTAGTGGCGAGACTGCGGATGGTAGTGAGGACGGAGAGGAGGAGAAGGAGAAGGTGGCTGAGAAGGAAGGCTAGCATCTTCTGTATCACTTTGGCACCAGATGAGAGGGGTTATTGGTACGTGAGTTTAGCATTATTATCGCATTGCAGCATAGATGGTGTGAGAGGTAATGAAGAGAATTACATGACATCATACAGAGCATGTTTTCCCCTTCGCTGCTTCGTGGTCTCATTGGTGTCAGAGGCTCGCATCGCTTACTCGTCGAGATGGTCCACATGGATACCTGGCAGTCAGGTAGATTAGATCTGTAACGATGCTGCACAAGACTTCACACACATCTACTCATTGCACCAACGAAGAAGATAAACGGCATCATGATCGATAAGCCCTGCTACTTGGCTTGGATGTATACACTTCATCAGTTTCTCGCAAAATCTACATTGAAAACTTCCTTATCCCCCTAGCCCCTCGTTCAATTCAAGCATGAGCCATGGCAGCAGCAGCAGCGGGAGTCTCGGCGGGAGCTGCTTCTGCGGTAGTCATAGGCATCTCAGCTGGGGGTGCCTCGGCGGGTGCCTCGGCGGGTGCTTCGGCAGCGGCTGTGGTCTCTGCTGGGGCTTCTGCGGCAGATGTCGTTGCGGGTGCTTCTTCAGCGGGAGGTGCCTCAGCAGGAGCCTCTTCAGCGGGTGGTGCCTCAGCTGGCGCCTCCTCTGCAGGGGCTTCAGCGGGAGGGGCGGGAGGAGCAGCAGCGGGATCCTCTGGGGGTGCAGGTACGAAGCTGTAAGAGAGTTAGTATTTGTATGATCGGAAGCATGACCAAAACGCTGGGAGGCATCAAGACTTACGCAGCAGCATCCAGAGCAAGTTTGCCCGCAGTTCCGCCGACGACATCGGTTCCATCAGTGCTCGATTCGCTCTGCTGGCTCAACTTGACATAGTCGGCCAACTGTTGCGTGCTCGCAGGGTTGACCATCATAACCTGACCCTCCTGGCAATGCGGTCCAGTAGCACAGTACAGGAACATGGGGTCTGCACTCGTGATGGGCATGTTGAAAGTTCCGACATCTGTCTGGCCGTCCTCGAAGGGGATGTGACCGCTGTGGATGCCGCCTTCCATGGGAGTGCATGCTGTGTCGGCGGTTGATTGCGTGACGGTGTGGTTGCCGTTGGAGAACTGGAATTGGACAATGTCGCCGACTGCTGCGGTGATGGTGTTGGGAATGAACGTGTCCTGGGGTCCACCGACGATTACGGGGATGATCTGGCTGGCGCGGCGGAGTGGGTTGGCTTGTCTTTGGTTAGCAGAGAATAGATGGAGACATGTGTGTATGACATACATTTGATGCTAGGCAGTCTGTTGACAGTCCTAAACGCCGGGCCTGGAAGCGCGCTAGCCGTAGCAATCAAAGCGACAGAGAAGATGGTGGACTTCATTGTGTAATGGCAGATATTTTGAGTTACAAAAAGGTATCGAGGGTATAGAAATAGGAACTAGACTACCGTTCAACGGTGGACTGAAGAATCGAAAGTAGAGATTATGTAAAGACCGTTCTACGGTTTGCGTAGTCAAAAGAGCGATGCGAAGAGAATGAAGGATAGAAAGACACCAACTGAGCAAAAACCCACCTACAAGTACTTTAGCTCATATACGCTTGTATCCTCCACTATCACATCCTCCACACGCCCGAATCAACCCTTTGCCTCCTCTATCCACACCATGAATCTTGCCTACGTAGCTTACCTCCTGCCCATAACATCTCAAACGTTGAAAATGGCCTGAGGAATCTTAGGGCAGCCACAGGCCAACCTATGGCGCACAGCCATGTGGATACCCGAGCTGTAAGACCAGGGCGGCCAAGCTGTCGCATTGTTGCACGTAGCCTAAACGATGTTTGACAGCCTTGTTTGCCAAGAGAAGGCATGGGAAAAGCGCATGGGTGAGGCGGTTGTATGCCGTTTGAAGATAAGTGGGGAGAGAAGTGCCGAGTTGCATCATGGTCGTTTGGAAACCTCAAGTGCCTTACCAGGCGTGGCGCTTAGGCTTGGGAAGGCAGAGGCGGGTAAACGGCAGGGTATGTTTGGGCGATGGGTGAACTCATATCCTGAAGTGGTGATGCGCACGCTGATGGTCGCGATGGAGTTGATGGTTTGCGGGATGGTCGAGGTCTGAGAAGGACTGCCGGCGACACATGTTGTTGAAAGTAGCTCGCAAAGATTCGCAACACCGATAGTCGTCCTAACGCATCAATATATCATGTAAAAAACAAAAGCGCATTCACGATGCGATCGAAGCTGTGGGTACCCAGGGGTCTGGCAAGCATGTCGCAGGAGGTCGGTGCTTGGTTCCTGCCTCGGTAGACGGCCTGGAAGCTGGAAGCGGGAAGCGAACGTTTGGGTCCACCGCGACCCGCGGTCTCCTGTGAGTCCGCGGTCCTCCGTACACCAAACACTACATGTCCGGCTTGGCTCAGCGCATGACTACTGCTTTTTTGTGAGCAATGCGATGGTGAATCAAATGGGTGTCTATACCGTGAGATGGATATAGCCTCCACTTGCCGACACCCGGAGATTCCTCTCTATGAGGCATGATTAGTATTGTCTCCATGACGACAGCGACTGTGCACAGATTCGGAGAGACTCTCTTGTCTGCTACCTTTTACTCATCGCATTTTGTTCCCATAGCTGCGACTTCATCCTCCGCGCTCGAGCGAAAGCTCAGTTTGTCTTTGCCGGGTTGCTCGATGTGGACGTGAAATGGTCTGTTCCGATGGCTGTTACTGCATACTCTCCACCCTCGAGGACTTACACAGGCGCAGAAGGGGTTCACGTTGCCGTTTGGTCTTACTTCCATCAGTCTTCCTCCTTATGTACGACAGGAACTGCGAACATTCTGGCCGGAGCCTAATTGATCCGGGATTGTAGGAGGCGCGCTCTTAGCTAAATTGAGAAAACGAGATGTAAGAAAGGGAAGTCGAGATCGCTAGATGATGAAGAGAGGGATAGAATCAGATCTTGGGTTCCAAGATTGTCAATAGTGAGTTTGCACGTGACGTTACTGTTCAGCTTCGCCGCACAGCTGCAGGTTTCAGAATACCGAAGCTTACGCCGCACCCCGCATTCTGTGCTGCCTCAGACTGTCTGTCATTCACTCGAAGACTTAAGTTCACTGCACTTTGAACAATTTGGTTTCCCTGTCATGGCGAATCTCGCGGAACTGCCAGCTGAACTGCTCATAGACATCGTGCATTCGTGTTCACACACAGACATCAAGCACCTCAGCGAGACCTGCCGCCTTCTCCACAACAAACTGGTACAGCTTACTTCCGCTAACAACTCTACATGCTCTTCTAACCGGGTTCCCAGCTACCTGAGCTTTTTCGCAACCTTGATTTAAGCACCCATAATGCCACTATCGAATGCTCCTTCGATATTTACCGCGAAGGTCGAGTCGTGCGAGCTGCCACAGGCCGAAGGGCCGTCGTACCTCCCAGGTTCTCCGCTCGGGAATGGCATAGTATCGACCAAAGCACTGCTAGAAAGCAGGAGCTGTTGATAAGGACCATTGCCGAGAAACCTACCTACGCAAAGTATGTGCGCGAACTACACTGGACAGTTCTCGACAGTCATCAGAACATTACCCATCATCGAGAGCTGTTCGACGCGCGACCTCGTTACTGGCGCGCCATTTACGCTGAGACAAGCTGGTCTAAACAGGGGCGGGTTCGAGATACTCAAGCCATGGTGAGAGTATACGAACCAGGGTCTCCACTCACCGCAGACGAGAAGCTACATCTGCTGTGGAGAATGTTTTATGACAATGACAACAGAAGGACCCACTATGAGAAATACGAAAGGACTCTCAGCAAAGAGCGTGAGGAGTTTCCACCAGAAGATGGTAGGCTATGGTTATGGCGAATCAGAACAGGTCTTAACACTACCAGACACTCTTTGGCGAACGTTCCATAGCTTCGTGCATGTAGTGGACGTCGATCTCTGTTGGCTCAGGTAAGACTTGCGAGTACATATACATTACTGGGCTGATCACGGAAACCAAAGACCGTGGCGGGAAGCTACTCTGCCGAAGAAACTCTTCCATGATGCTCGATCAATTCGACTAGGCGGACGTATGACGCGCGAATTTGTCACCTGTGTTCTCGGAGGGTCGCGTCTCGAAAGCATAAATCTGAACGACCTAAAGCTATGGGCCGAGCTCGAAACAGCTTCCAACTCCAACCCAAAGCCATCTGGATCGGGTCTCGCAAGCCTTGCCACAGACACAGCGGAGTCTGAACTGGTACCGTCAGCTTCGAACCAACTACAAGAGCTACGCAAGTATCTCGACGTAAATCGTGCCAGACTGCAGATGCGACCACACGAGCGAGTGCTGGCAGACACCCTTGACACGCTCGCAGCCCGCCAGTCTGTTCTAAAATCTCTTCATATTACCATAGCAGGGCCTGATACAGGTTACTATTACACTCCTCAGGATACATCACTGTATCGCTCATGGGCACGGTTCCTGGCGTCGGCACGCAATACGCTATGCAATCTCTTCTTCGAACAGTGTGAAGGTATTAAGGAGTCGTCCGGCCCTCGTAGGGGCCGTGAGAGAAGGCAGACACAAGGGATCCGTCAGATGGACTGGCTTTTTGCGCAACAGGTGCTGCCTGTTTTGTTAGGCGCTCCATGGCCGCAGATAAAACGCATGGAGATCAGAGGCGTAGGCCAGATCGACAGCGTGTACCGGAGCGTGTACCATTACGAGCTTGAGCGAAGGGTGGAAGTGGTACGTGTGGTGGCTCCTCCAAAGGCTACAGAGCAGCTTCGTAAGCTATTAGATTACGAAGCAGAACTGGTAATAGAAGAGCGGTCGTCTGCGAAGTGTGAGCACGTCGATACCGCTGATCCAGGCATTCCACCAATATACAGTCAATGGGAAGATTGGAAGGCGATCATGGATAGGCGTAGGAAACAGAACCACCGCGACAGCGACAGCGACAGCGCAAGAAAAGAGACTGGTGGACTTGCGACTTGTCGTATCAGCGATTACGAACAGATAGCATTTCGATGGTCAGACGGTTTGATAGATGAGAAGAGCGCTCTTCGTATTGCAGATCCAGAATACGTGCCGGATACGGAGTTATTGGGAGGACCCAATCCCGAAATCGAGAGGGCATGAATGGAAGCTTGAAGGCCTTCTATAGGTCTCAGTAGGAAGAGGATCTGGTCTTCATGTGTACACTTTAAAATGACCACAATGCATAGCCATCAGGCAGGGCATCTGGATTTTCGAGTCTTCAAACAAATATAGGGTCTGCTGTCGTGCTGTGGTGAGCAGCGCTCAAGGCGAACGCCCGGGCCCCGACGAATTAGACGTAGCGCGCTTCGGCCGGAATTACTTTTCCGCCAGCCTGTAATTTTCTCTGAGCTCACACCCACCCACCCACTCATCTTTAGTCCCAAGCTTCACGGGCACCTCACGGAAGACCAGCTCCAGCAGCCTTGCGGCCAGGGTCGCACTATTCACGATGCATCCACGCATGCTGCTAGCCCCACGTACGGGTGCTGCTGCATTGGACCGCGACCTCGGCTGAACGCGATCCATGAGTGCGGAGACCGATTCCAACCGCTCTCCGCAACACGTTGCCAAACTCAACTACCCAGATACCCTTCCTCATACCATATCACAAGATGCGGACAGTCTCGGCGCTAGCTTCGCCTCTGCGGAGATCAACACCTACAATGGCCCGCCAGAGCGCGCGGAGATGCTTCTCGAGCTCCCACAACCTGCAGGCTACATGGGGGTTCATAGGACTGGGACGCATGGGTTAGTACAATGGCAGCTCACATGATCACCATGTCCTAACATTGAACACAGGTTATCCCATGGCGAAAAACCTCAGAGCGAAGATACCGGCTGAGGACACACTCTTCGTGCACGATGTCAATACCGCAGCTACAAAGCAATTCCTCGAGGAGCATCCACAAGGCGTACGAGTCGCTGAGAACGTACGAGAAGTCGCTGAAAAAGCGGTACGTATACCTCTTCCACTACTTCCAGCACTCTCGTGATGAATTAATTGTTCTATCAATGATCTAAGTTGGGGGCCATTCGTGGCCCTTCTCCTGATTACACAAAAATTATAGCCAATCCTCTGATGCTTTATATACAACACATCTTCTCGTCAAGTACTTCGAGTGCAGTCCACTGACAGTGTTGCAGGAAACTATCGTCACATCCTTGCCAGAACCTAAGCATGTCAAGGCAGTCTTCAAGGAGATGCTGGAACCAGCTACTCTCCTTTCAGACAGCTCCATCAACAAAGAACGTTTCTTCATCGATTGCTCAACCATTGATCCTATGACGTCTGGTGAGGTAGCGGAAGCTGCTCACTCCACTGGTCAAGGAAAGTTCATTGATGCGCCGATGTCTGGTGGTGTCGTTGGTGCACAGGCTGGTACGCTCACTTTCATGATCGGTGCGCCGCCTGAGGCAGTCGAAGGTGCCACTAAAGTCCTGTCATTAATGGGTCGGAGAGTGGTTCACCTTGGCGGACCAGGTGCCGGTCTCAAGGGCAAGCTTGCCAACAACTATCTACTCGCACTCAACAACATCGCGACGGCAGAAGCAATGAGTATGGGTGTGAAATGGGGTCTTGACCCCAAAGCACTAGCTGGTATGATCAACACAGCGACCGGCAAGTGCTGGCCCAGTGAGGTCAACAACCCTGTTCCCGGTGTCATTGAGGGCGCTCCTGCAAGCAGAGGCTACGAGGGAGGGTTCGGTATAGGCCTGGCCAGCAAAGATCTCAAGCTTGCGTTGAAGGCAGCCGATGAGGCTGGTGTCAAGCTTGCGTTGGGAGAACCAGCAAGAGCGCTCTATGATGCATGCGAAAAAGCTGAAAACTGCAAGGGCAAAGACTTCTCAGTAGTCTACAGATATCTTGGGGGCAAGGAGTAGACAATATGACTTTGATCGACATCAATAACCGCTTCACACATGATCTCGTACCCTCGTGATGTACATCTGATGGATTGCACAGTCGTGCCTATCGTGAAGACCCTTGGAGAGCGAACAGGAGCTTCGTCGTGCTTGCCTGTGAAACGTGTGCCAAGCAGTGGTGGGAAGAGGGGAAAGCTCTGGTCAAAGTGAGAGGAAGACGGAAACAGCACTGCAACGCATGTCGAGACACAGAGAAAGAAGAGACCTTGTTGTTACGACTAAAAGTGTATACGCCATAAAGTGACTTGAGACCCAGTACTCCATGATCTGTCCGAACATCAGCCCACAAATCGACAATCGATGCAGCAGCGCTAGGTGCGCTGCAGTGGATCGAGACAGTAATACATGGATGGAGAAAGTCAGTGATGAAAGATGCCCATAGCCCTTTGACCCCGTAACCCATTGACATCCAGACTGCAGACCCAGAATGACAGACATCCAGTACAGCAAAATCCTGCGACCACGGTTTCGCAAAAGTAGACCAGACAACGCGAAACCAGGCTCAGATCCGTAGTGCAAAACAGCAGGGTCGCAGGACAAAATCAACGCAAACATCGGAAGTAGAAGGAATGATCATGGCAGAGCAAGACGAAGGAATTGCAAACGCCCATATCGCACACAAGGGATGATGGATCATCCTGAACAGAATAGGCAGCTCAAAGGCTTGATGGCCTGTAATCGTACATGTACGAGTTGTATCGTATCGTCGTGAGTCATATCGAGCAGAGAGGTCGGAGAGTTCGTAGAAGTCGTTATCTGGAGTAGGGCTTGTTCATCAGCGCGATTTCGCGCGCAACTGTTGCCCACTCCAGGTCGCGGCGAAGAGGCTCATTACGTCGTTGACGCTGGTACTCTTCCCACTTGAGAAGTTCGTAAGTGAATCGAAGGTGTGGTTGAATTATAACATTAAGTCGTCGTGCCCGAACAAAGCAGCTAGATTTAGGTTAGTCTTAGTCAAATGGAAGACAGCTCATTACTTACTAGGCACGAGGGAAGGATAGGCCCATCTCATTCATAACTTCAGCAATACAAATCGTTGCAGAACGCGACACGCCGACACGGCAATGCACTAAAGTAGCGCCTCCTTCTTTCTTGCCTGCTTCTACAAAAGGTCAGCTATGCGAGTCTCAGCGTGGAGTCATGCCACTCACCAATGAATTTCAGGCAACGCTCAAACTCGCCCCAGAGCGGGTCTACGCCATTGTCCTGAACTCGGTCGACCATCAGGAAGTTCTCGGCAGGCCAGTCGAGCTTCTTCTTGACGTCTTCCGGCCAAGAAAGCGGTTCTCCAACACTCAGGATGCGGTTAATGCCCATAGCGCGGAGGAGCTCCGGGTTGTTAGCGTGTCCAAGGTTGCCGAGGTACATGTAAGGCAAGATCCGACTGGGCAGACTGCCGTCGAGCTTCGAAAGCCAGCGTGGTTCGGAAAGATTAAGAACACTCTGGTTGAAGCGAGGGGAGTCTTGAAGGATCCGAGGTTGAATCGCTGTTAGAAGGGCAACATCCGAAGGGTATGCGAAGAAGTTGCGGCCCTTGTCGCGATGCATTTGAATCCAAGCATCGTGAACAGGTAGGCCTTCCGCATACATGAAGTAAGCCAAAGCCAGAAGTGTCGTCTCGGTATAACCATCGGTGCAGTGTATCAAAAACTTGCGTGGCGCAGCAATGTCGTCCATCTCTATAGCTTCGTCTTCTTCTTCCCGTCGTCGCTTCGACCGCCGGACCTCTTGTGGGTTCGCCAGCTCGTACATCCACTTGCACATTTCCATCAGGCCGTCAACTTCGCCATGCGCCCATGTAGGAGGCATGATGCTTCCAGATGAGGGAAATTCCATGTGCAGGGTAGACTTGCGGTGAACTCGTTCTAGGCCCATGCGGAGAGCTCGGAGCGAGCGCGATTCGGGTACATGCGCGAGATCGGTCGCTTCAATCAACATATCGTAGCCTTCTTCTCCCACGCAATCTGGATGCAGTGCTTGATCAGGCGTTGGTCCCAGGAAGACGTTGTTGCTGATCTCTGTTGCTTTCGACATTGCGCTCATCTCATATCGCTCCCAATAGACTTTATATGTTAGTAGTGAACAGCCTCCTTTCACGTCACAACTTACAAAAATCAGCAATCTCTCCCGTCATGTCGCCCGTGGAATTGATAGCGACCAGCTTTGGGTACTTCTCCTGCATGGACGCAAAGGGATCTGAACTTGTTAGTTTTGTACTTCACAGCAGTTACTGATCGTACCTGAGAGCATGAACGTGTTGAACAAGCAATGCGGAAACCCGTTCCTTGCTTCATACTGCCTCTGCGCTCTGGAAATTTTCTGAGCGAGCGCAATCGTGTCTTGCGGTTTGGTTTTGTGGTCGCCATACACTATGATGTCAGACACCATAGCCAGTTTGCAGGCCTGGATCTGGAAGTTGCGCACAGAAAAGCCATCCTTGGGGTCACATTCAATGAACCTGGGCGTATCAGAAGACACTGATTCCAGTAGCTCATCCGGTGCAACTGCGCCCTTGAGCTTGGAAGCTGACAGGTTCCCGCCGGTCTTGACGACAGTAATACTGCGAATGCATCTGGGAACTTTCCGACCGCTTCTGCGTCGAGAAGAGAAGAAAGCAAGCTGTATCTGATTCTCGGAGTGAAGACCATGCATCCACGGAAAGACTTGGTCGGGGTTCGGAAGCGGCTGCGTTGCAATGTGCTCTAGGGCCTCCGCCATGCGATCCGCGGTGATAGTGTACACGGGCGGGTCATCGGAGTAGAGTGAACAGTATGCATCTGGCGGATATGTGATTGACGAGGTTTCAATAAGACTGTCCTGGCGCGGGGGCGATGCCGGGGGAGTTGCAGGGAGTCCACCAGGAGAGCACTCCGGGATGTGCTTGTTGGGAATGGCAGTAGGTGTACCACGAGAAGAGGTGTTGAGCGACAGGTGCGGTGGAGGTGTCGAAGAACGACCGGGCATAGAAGGATATCTGGCGACAGCAGCAGCCATGTTGACAAGTCCAAGGCTTGGGGATTAGAATGTGGTCGAAGGCGCGCAACGTGTGAAGGGCCTGTGGTGGGCGAGGAATCAATCGGGCAGGCTCCTTACAATGGCAATAGGCTGGCTAATGGTGATGGTCCCTTCCCAATCAAAGAGACGCAGCGGAGGGGTCAGAGGACCACCAATGTACAGCAGGAGCGTGCGTATCACGACAGAGTGGAGTGACAGGAGTGATCTGTCGCGCAATGATCAGTACACGGGACCGAAGGGCGTCTTATGCCTCGAGCTGTGGGACCTACCGCGATGAAAGTTTGGGGAGACGGCGCACGTTAGTTGTTGAGTTGATCAACAGCCAGGGTCAAAGAGGTAAGCACGAGGGCCGTCGAGAAGTTGCGACCCTTTGCAGGAAGGTACGACCTACAGCGCGACGGTGAACATGATGTGAGGACAGGTGAAGTGAAGAATTGCGGGGAATGGATTGAACTGAATTAAGTCGAGAAGAAAGAAGAAAACATGGAGGGGCGAGGGGCGTCGATGGAGGTTGTAGCCACGACGAGGGATATGGGCGTCTCTAGTGGTTCCCCGCTATCTGACTTTCCCAGCATTCGACAAGGCGCCGTTTTAATTCACCCAACCCAGCTTCGTGGTGCGCGCCACCATGCAATGCCTGCTCCGACAGCTCTGCAATCGTTGGCCCGTGTAGACGACACCGCACACGGGGCATGCACAGAAGCTGTTCCTGCTCCATGACAGCCGCTGGGATTCGGCAGCATCACGGCGCAGTTGTCCAAGGGCGATAAGGATGCCAGTGGGTGGGTCTGGCAGACTGGGCAAGGATGCGTGCGGAGATATGAGGGCACGCAGTGTGCATGCTAAACTAGCCACTATAGAGCTCACGTCCCGCTAACAAGGACGTCGCCGGCAGCGTGGAATCGGGCTGACAGTTAGTGTGCCATTCGCATGCGGATCCAGCATCATGCCCCACTGGCGTGCAGCTCAGCAATTGCCACCCAACACGCGAGCGTGAAGTCTGGAGCTTCATCGAGCGATTGCCGATCAACCCCGCGTCTTTTGGCACTCTGGAGCCGCCGACGAGACTAGAGTCTGGAGCCTCCTCATGGCTGTCAAACGACCAGCTGCAGACTGCACGCTTTGGACGTACTAGCTAAACACGATTCACGAGGCCACACTGTTTAGTCGACCTCACAACCCCGCATTACGTTGTCGCTTCTTATCGCTTTGCAAGGGAGGCAGACCAGGACCAGGTGTCTGTGTTCGTTTACTAGATCCGAGCCTACTATGTCTGCCCAAGTATTTGAGTCGTAAGCCCCGATGCATGCTGACGCACGATGAGAAAAACGTTCTGGAGCGCATCCTGTCGTGAAGCTCTAGACATCGGTTATCATGACATGTGAAGCGGATTCGTGTAAGATCTTTTGGGTTGGGTTGCTAACCTGCAGCCGGTCTACATGGTGGTGACTGCTCGCGTGCCTTCCGATACTCCTCTTGCTATACATACACGACCGTCGTATCCCGTTCAATCATGTTCAATCATGACGCCCAACTCCTCGCATAAACTCACTATCCAAATCCTCGTACGTTACAGATATAATGGAAAGGTATCACTCCGACAGGGTCCATCCCGCAGTCCGCGCTCCGCAAGCCAAGACCTATCCTCATACATCAAGCTCGGCTTTTGAGTTCAGTATATCATCGACGATGGAGCGCTGGACAGCTATCCTGTCCTTATCGCCCGCGTCCTGCTCCCTCAACAAGACTGCGAGTACTTCGATCGGCGGGTCGAGATCGAGCCGTTGCGCTCGCTTCCAGCGCTTCAACCGAGCGATTCCGGTGCATGGCTACATAGCGCAAATCGTATTAGTGATGCAACAAGACGTGGGGGAGCTCTGAAGGCAGGGTGCTGGGTGGTAAACTTACGCCATAGTGCGCGCTCATGTCGAACTCCCTAAGGA